TGTCTCTGTCATAACCTTGTTGCCATAGTTAATACAAAAACAAATGAACATGCCTCTTTTTATAGACACTAACATTTGAATTTCATTTAATTTCCACATATCATGGAACATTTCTCTCTCTCTCTCTCTTTCTCTCTCTCTCTCTCTCTCTCTCTCTCTCTCTCTCTCTCTCTCTCTCTCTCTCTCTCTCTCATCTCTCTCTTTCCTTCTTCCTTTTAAGAAGACATTTGAAAATGTAAGAAACCGTTCTTAGCTCACAGGCTGTACAAAAGAGGTATATTTGGCTTGTGGGCTGTAGTTTCCTGACTCCTGCTTAGAACATTTGAAAATTAGCTTTAGATTGATTCTTAGCATTTTGAGATAGGGTTTTCTGTTGGAGTGGCTTGGGAAATTTCTGAATAGAGATGGTTTTAAGAAAAAACTAATTATGAATTACTGTGATATGTATTCTATAGTTATATATAGTCATTATATATAGTTACTCTGAATTTTTGCTATATATTTTTATCTTCTTTGTATATATTGAAATTTTAAAGAAAACAAAGATTGATTAAATAGAACACAACAGTGATGTGTCAAAGAAACCAAAGAGTTAATCTAATTGGTTATCAGCCCTATTCTACAATTATCCACTGTATTTAGAAAAGCATGACATTGGCAAGACCATCTAAGACTAAGAGATTATAATTCTAACATTTTTTTATTTTAAAAAGAAAAATATCACTAGAATTTTTTATCCTTAAAAGCATAAAAAATATTAATGGAAAAAAATTATAGACACTAACATTTGAATTTCATTTAATATGTCTTATTATCAGTTCAGTTCTATTTTTGCCTTAAAATTTGGGAGTTCTTCAGTCAACGCTTCTGACATAAAACCACAATTTATTCAATTTGTTCCATATTCCTTTGAGAAAAGCTTTTATCTTAATATGTGAAAAACACATAAAAGGCAAGGCATAATATTATTTAAAATTACATTTTATTGGCTTTGTTTAAAGATTTATATAAAATGGAAAGTGCTAAGTCAATCCGCTTCCGATTAAAAACAGTATTTTATGGGTATACAGCACTTCAAGTTTTCAAAGATACTTTTATGTAATTGTCTTTGATATTTACTACATCCTTGTAGAGATAGATATTGCAGGCATTTTCTCTGTTTTATGGATTAAGAAAACTGAGGCTCCTAAAATGCCATTACATGCCTGTGGCTCATAAGCAAACATAATAATTTGAGTTTAGCCAAGACTGGTTTGGCTCAATGGATAGAGCGTCGGCTTGGGGACCAAAAGGTCCCGGGTTCAATTCCGATCAAGGGCATGTACCTTGGTTGTGGGCATATCCTCAGTAGGGGGTGTGCAAGAGGCAGCTGATTGATGACTCTCTTTCATCAATGTTTCTAGCTCTCTATCTCTCTCCCTTCCTCTCTGTACAAAATCAATAAAATGTATTTAAAAAAAATAATTTGAGTTTAAGTCTCAGTATGAATTTAGTGTGCTTTTTGCAGCAATATTACTTCTTACTCAGTGCCCAGTAGACTGCTTTACACATTAAAACGTCTATATATGTTGTTTCCTGATTGGTATTTTATAACTAAATTAATACTAAAGTCTGATAAATTGTGAAAATTTATCATAATCCAAAACATTTAATGCGAGTGGGATGTGTATGGAAAGACTAGGGTACATTTCTTTCATGATGTGTTTATATCTAAATGCACATGTATATGCTAGTTAGCACAATTTCTAAAGCAACACTTCCTCCACACTAAATTTGTAATTGGTATATTTATCACTTACAGGTTTTTTTTTAATCCAAAAGGACCAAAACATTTCTGAAGGCAATGATCATGCCCAAATTATACTACTCTCTCTCTAGCCCCAAGTTTTTTCTTTTTCTTTTCTTTTCTTTTTAAAGCATAGAGTGGTTTTCGTAGAAGGAAGCTGGTCTTTATGGACAGAATGGGAGTAGCTCAAGCAAGATAGGAGGATGGGGGGCATTGTAACCCCTCCCGTCCCCGCCAACACTCACTCTAAATCTTCTCGCTTCAACATTGCTTAGACTAGGGGACCATTCAGATTAAATAAAAACCACTAATAAACCAGAGATAACAACTCTCTGTGTCTTGGTCTATATGCCTCGAGTTAGGTAACCTTACCCAAATAATTATAATTAATTTTATAAAAATATATTTTTATTGATTGAGAGAAGAAGAGAAATACAAACATCAATGATGAGAGAGAATCATTGATTGGCTATCTCCTGCATGCCCCACATTGGGGTTTGAACCCACAACCCAGGCATGCGCTCTGACTTAGAACTGAACCATGACCTTCTGGTTCATAGGTAGATACTCAACCTCTGAGCCACGCCAGCTGAGCTGTAATTAAAATTTTAAGGTTAACCCATTCATTTTTAGATTTACAGTGATAGTCAAAACATTCTATTTGAATTCTAATTCCTCCATGTCCTTGTTCAACACTTAGTATGATTAATTTTTTTAAATTTTAGCCATTTTAATATGTGGTTAGTGGTGTCTTATTGTGCTTTTAATTTGACTAATGATGTTGGGCTTCTTTTCAGGGCCTTATTTTCATTCTTATATCTTCTATGGTGAAAGGACAGTTGACATCTTTGCCTATTTTTTAATTGGGTTGTTAATTTTAGAAATTACGGATTAAGGAAACATAATTTTTTGAGCATTCTTTTTTCCCATTTTTTAAATTAAGGTATTATATGTGTACATATCTTACCATTGCCACCCTCCCACTCCCGTACATGCCCTTATCCCCCCAGAGTTTTGCGTCCCTTGGTTATGCTTATATGCATACAAGTTCTTCAGTTGACCTCTTATCTCCCCCATATCTCCCTAACCTTCCCACTGTAATTTGACAGTCTGTTTGTTGCTTTACTGTCTCTGTATCTATCTTTTGGTTCATCAGTTTATAATTTTCTTTATTATCCATAAATGAGTGAGATCATGTGGTGTTTTTCTTTCATTAACTGGCTTATTTCACTCAGCATAATGTTCTCTAATTCCTTTTTTATGGCAGCATAGTATTCCATTGTGTAGATGTACTATAGTTTTCTGATCCAATCATTTGCTGACAGGCACCTAGGCTGTTTCCAAATCTTAGCTATTGTGAATTGTGCTGCTATGAACAAAGGGATGCATATATCCTTTCTGATTGGTGTTTCTAGTTTCTTAGGATATATTCCTAGGAGTGGTATTACTGGGTCAAATGGAAGTTCCATTTTTAGTTTTTTGAGGAAACTCCACACTGTTCTCCACAGTGGTTGCACCAGTCTGCATTCCCACCAGCAGTGCACGAGGGTTCCTTTTTCTCTGCAACCTCACCAACACTTGTCATTTGTTGATTTGTTAATGATAGCCATTCTGACAGGTGTGAGATGGTACCATATTGTTTTTTTGATTTGCATCTCTCGGATAATTAGTGACTTTGAGCATGTTTTCATGTGCCTCTTGGCCTTCCTTCGTCTTCTTTTGAAAAGATTTTATTTAGGTTCGTAGCCCATTTTTTGATTCAATCATTTATCTTCCTTTTATTTAGTTGTATAAGCTGTCTATAGATATTGGAGATTAAACTTTTATCAGTGATAACATTTGCAAATATGTTCTTCCATACAGTGGGCTTTCTTGTTGCTTTGTTGATGGGTTTTTTTTGCTGTAAAAAAGCTTTTTATTTTGATGTAGTCCCATTTGTTTATTTTCTCTTTAGTTTTCATTGCCTTAGGGGCAGTATCAGTGAAGAAGTTCTTTCGGCATATGTCCGAGATTTTGCTGCCTGCGGATTCCTCTAGTATTTTTATGGTTTCCCATCTTATATTCAAGTCCTGTATCCATTTTGAGTTTATTTTTGTGTATGGTGTAAGTTGGTGATCTAGTTTCATTTTTGCATGTATCTGTCCAATTTTTCCAACACCATTTATTGAAGACTGTCTTGACTCCATTGTATGTTCATGCCTCTTTTGTCAAATACTAATTGAGCATAGTGGTTTGGGTTGATATCCGGATTCTCTATTCTAGTCTATTTATTTATACTTTTGAGCATTCTTTAAATCTTCTGGGTACAAGTGCTTTATCAGGTAGGTGATTGACAAATGTGTTTTCTCAATCGATGGCTTGTCTTTTTGTTACTTTTGATAATGTCATTTGAAGAACGTAAGTTCTCAATCTTTATAGAAGTCTAGTTTATCATGTACACATATAATACCTTAATAAAAAATGAAAAAAGAAGTCCAGTTTATCAATTTGTTCTTTTTAAAAAAATTAAATCTTTATTTTTGAAAGTATTATTATGTCTTTTATTCTCCTCATTGCACTCTCCTATCCCACTTCTCCCAAGCCTTTACCCACTACTGTCTCTGTCTTTGGGTTATACATATATGCTTATGAATTAATCAGTCACTACTCCACTGCATAATAACTTATTTCCCCCTTCCTAAGCTTGGAGTTAATGTCATACATTTTACTTCTACTTACGGTATAAACCTCACACTACATGGTAATTACTTTTGCTTTAGATCATCTGTAAATATTTACCCTCCATTAAATTTTATTTCTTTGTGTAGATTAACTAGACTTTCATTTGCTATCTTCATTTTCTTTTTGCATGAAGGACTTCCTTTAACATGTTTTATAATGCAGGTCTCATGTTGGTGAATATTTTCAGTTTTGGTATGCGTGCAAAAAAGTCGTCATTTCACATTTATTTTGAAAGATATTTACGTTGGGTATAGGATTTTAGATAGCAATTTTTCTTTCCTTTTTGTTCTTTTCTTCCTGTTTTTATTTTTCTGACAGCTAACCTGTTTTAACCCTTATCTTTGTTTCCCTGACATAATGTATTGCTTTGCCAATGCCCTTTATGATGGGTATCCAGAATAGCTTATTTCAATTTGGATTTTATGTCCTACATTTTAAATATAGTCAGTATCTTTACATCTATATCAATGTTTGCCTCTTCTTTTTCATGTAGGCCTGAAGTGTTAGAAGAACCACCACTGGTCCCCCAGAAAGGCAATTTCCAGCTTGTTCAGTGCAACTGCAGTGCTCACAAATGTGAATGCCATGTGTCTGTGCCAGCAGCCAAACTCAACTGCACTCTCTCTATGTATTTAAATATCACATCTGGGAGAGTGATTTTTCAGTCTCCTTTAATGTCAGTTCAACCCATCACTATCGGTAAGTTGTACATAAGAAAATCACAGATCTAAACATCAGTCATACAAACAGATTAAACACGGATTACAAAATTTGTCAACGGCTTATCTCACTTTGACCAACTCTGTAATCATGGTAAATGTAGTGCTAGGGAGTATTGTGAGCAGCTTCTGGAATGGTTTTAGCTTTCAGTCATTCAGTAGTAACAGTAGTATTTCTATCTTTGCAATTATAACCTAACTTATTGCTTGAAAACAGTTTTATTTCTTTAAATCCTAGATCTGTCTAATGAGATATAAAGTATTTGGTTATCACCTTTTTACATCTCAGATAACTATTTATGATAATAATTAGGATTTTTTTTCTCTTGGATTTATTCCTTCAATAAGTATTTCTTAGAGTCTCATGATTTGGGAGCCAGGAAAAATAGTGGTGAATGAGACAAAATTCTTGCCTCACAGAGTAGGGACAAATAATAGTGGGCAGAGATAAACAAAAAGTTTATCCAATTTTTCCAACACCATTTATTGAAGACTGTCTTGACTCCATTGTATGTTCATGCCTCTTTTGTCAAATATTAATTGAGAAACAAGGAGTAATTTTCTATACAAATATGAGCAAAAGAAAAATTCAATTAACAGGTAATGCTCCATATTTTCAGTTCAAAGATCCCCTGACATTTTTTGACCAATTTGAATATGTCACTACAAATGTGACTAATATAAGTAAATGTAAACTTAAAATATTTAACTTTTTCATTAGTTTTGTGTATGTATGTTAAATTATATATTACTAGAAGCCTGGTGCATGAAAATCGAGCATGGGGATGGGGGGTCCCTTAGCCCACCCTGCACCCTCTCCAATCTGGGACCTCTTGGACATCTCTCTCATAATCTGGGATCCATGGCTCCTAACTGCTCACCTGACTGCCTGCCTGATCACTCCTAACCTTTCTGCCTGACTGCCTGATCACCCCTAACCACCTATGCCTGCCTGCATGATTGCTCCTCTGCCTGCTTGCTTGATTGACCTTATCTGCCTCGCCTGATGGCCTGATGCCCCTAACTGCTCTCCTCTGCCAGCCTGATCACTCCTCACTGCTCTCCCCTGCCAGCCTGATTACCCCTAAATGCCTCTGCCTAGGCTCCCATCACCATGGCTTTGTCCGGAAGGATGTCTGGTGTATCCGGTCTAATTAACATATACTCTTTTATTAGTATAGATAATTATCATGTAATTATTAATATATAATTATATAACATATAATTTAATAGTGTTACTATTTTCTCAGCTCATATTTCCTTAGGTAGTTTATATATAAACTTTTTACTCATATCTTTGCATCATTGTTTTTGACATAACTAGTCACTTTTCTAGATATCTGAAACAATTTTCCTCACAATTTTTCCTGTACTTCTTTCTAAGTTATTGGGAGGATATATCACTTTTTGAATCTACATATGACATTATATTTTAACATTAAGACTTTCAAATAATGTGTCCTCCAGATCACCTTTTAAATAGTTGAAAGAACAAGATATGCTAAAATTTCAATTTGACTTCATTTGATGATTATCACAAGAAATGCTTGACTAAAACATGTTTTTGTTTGTTTTTTCTTAAGTGAAGCCCGATCCACCATTAGGTTTGCATATGGAAATCACAGACAGTGGTGGTTTAAATATTTCTTGGTCCAGTTCAACATTGGTACCATTTCAACTTCAATATCAAGTGAAATATTCAGAGAATTCTACAAGTAAGAGAGAAGTAAGTATATTTTAGTAAAGGAAAAGTTGAGATGCAACTAAAGTAAAAGGTGAGACCCATCCAAGTTCCATAGAAAGTGCTCTCCGCATACCAAATGTGCCTGCTCCTGTAGAGCAGAATCCTTTATAATTTACCATTGCACCACTGGCTTTCATTTAATATCAGCATAGGAACTTACCATATGAATGGCATTTCTGCATCTTCTGTAAAATGCTTTTAGACAAATTACTTGATGTTACTCAATGTTGCTTATATATGGATCTATGTTATATATTGGGGAACATGACAAATTCCTTCCAGAATTTAGTGATAGAGAAAGCTCCTCTTCTTAAAAAAAGTTTACATATATTAGATTGACCTCTCTCCTCTCCCCTCATCTTTGAATTTATTTATAATTTTTTCACCTACCGGTCTTCTTTGATTTCTGATGTTACATTTAATCCTTTAAAAAATGGCTTTGTATATTTGTTTACATGCAGTGCAGTATATGCATTTGAACTGTAAAGTACACCACATCCTTTCCCCTCCCAGTCTTTCTGTACATTTTTGTGGAACTCCTGCTAGAAAGCAAGAATGGGCATGCTTGTATCAGGATATACTGGGGTAGTAGACCAAAATGAGAGGAGCTTGGGAGTGCTGGCGAGAGATGGTGGGTTATAGTACTAAATGGAGGTGGGGGAAGATCTCATTGAGAGGCTGACATTTGAGCTAGGATTTGAAGGAGATGGCAATGTAGGTATCTTGGGGAATTTGGTTCCAAATAGTGAAATCAGCCATTTAGAGGTTCTAACCTTGGTGAGAGGCTGGAGGCCAGAGGAGTGAATGAGAGTAAGAGTAAGAGTGCAAATCAAAGTGAATAAAATCAAAGGGAATAGTGGTCTGGTTTCGTTCTGTTGCATGGGACTATTCAGTTTTCCCAAACCAATGTAATGTTACTAACCAATTACCTCAATCAAAACCAATCAATCAACTAATTCTATATAATAAAAAGCTAATATGCTAATTAGACCAAACAGCAGAATGGCTGTCTGGATGACCTTCTGGACAACCGTCCGGATGACCTTCTGGATGAAGCCAAGGCTGTGAGGGGTGAGCCCCTTGCCTGAATTTTGTGCATGGGGCCTCTAGTATGCAATAAAAACCCAGAGGGTTAGGGGAGGAGAACAGAAGATTGTAAAGAACTTCATGGGCCATGCATGGACTTCGGCACTTTGTAAGACTAATTGTTCTGTAATTTAGAGATAAATATCTGTTTTCTTAGATCTGGGCTAACTTTTTTGAGTCTTCATTTTCATAAAGAGCAGGATAGGAATCCATTTATGATGTGTATGGAAAATCAGAGTTTAGACTTCTCTGGACTTCAGCTTTCTGAACTGTAAAATTGAGAAAACATGATTTTAAATACTAGAGGTGATCTGATATTGTTTAATGGGTTCCTAATGCTTTTCACCACTTTTATTCTATGGTGTCTTGAAGTCTAAGACACAGGAAAGTCCAATAGTTTTAGAGTATATCACTAGAAAACCAAATTTATTCGCTAAGCAATTCTTTGCTGGTGGTTGTTTTATGCAATTAGGCCTCTTAAATATTTTCCTTCTACTTTACAAACTGCATTTTGATTCACTGTAGTTTATCATCAGTCTAAGGTTCTTAAAAATTATTCATGCCCTCCTTCGGTGACGTTTTCCTCTAGGAACAAAACTGTTCTGTTTACCCTGTGCATCATTTCCACCGTGTGCTTTCCAGTTGTCAGCAGGGGCATGACATTTCTCACTGACACTAGCTATATATCTCAAGATTTGAAAAGTCATATCCATTATCACCCAGTTAAAAATATTTATTTATTGTCATTGTGATTCTCAGACTCATGGGTTATGTAAAATTTTATTGACTAGTGTACCAACCTTTGTTATTTGGTTATTGATTTCTGTTTAATTTCATTTTGGCCAGCTAACTCCTCTATAAGATTTCAGTTCTTTGAAATTTGTTGAGACTTGTTTGTGATCAGTTTCGGTAAAGGGCTCGCAGTGACTTGATACTTTTGTGTTTTCAAATAATATTTAACAGGCTGATGAGATCGTCTCAGCCACATCGCTGCTAGTAGACGGTGTGCTTCCAGGGTCTTCGTATGAGGTTCAGGTGAGGAGCAAGAGGCTGGATGGCCCAGGCACCTGGAGTGACTGGAGCACCCCTGTTATTTTTACCACACAAGGTAGGTTTTTGTAACAGTACCTTCTATTGAAAAGGGAATATGTTTTTGGAAGTTGTGTTTGGTATATTATAAGACTCTTAAATTTTTGTGGCACTAAACCAGAAAGACGTTTTCTACTTACATTTTGAAAAAAGCTAATTTGTTAATGAAATGTTGTGTAAGAGCTCCAAGGTATTTTGTTGAATTACAAGATAGCAGTATCTTATTGAATTACATTCTTTTTCAAAATGTACAGTTAATATAAAAGTTTCAAACTCACAAACTCAGAAAGAGAAAGAGAATTATTGATGTAGAGAGAAACATTGATCAGTTGCCCTCCTGCATGGGACTTGACTGGGAATCAAACCTGAAATCTGGATATGTGCCCTGACTAGGAATTGAACCTGCCATCTTTTGGTGTACAGAACGATGCTCCAACCAACTGAGCCACATTGGTCAGGCTTCCTTAACTCACATTTTGAAAAATCAGATATGTTTATTAAAAATATTTTTCTATATATATTGATTTATTGATTTTAGAGAAGAAGGAAGAGGGATTGAGAGAGATAGAAACATCAATGATGAGAGAAAATTATTTATTGGCTGCCTCCTGCACATGGGGACTGAGCCCACAACCTGGGGATATGCCCGGTCTGGGAATTGAACTGTGCCCTCCTGGTTCAAAGGTTAATGCTCACTCACTGAGCCAGGATGGCTGGGCTCAGCTATATTTATTTGATGTACATTTCAAATATTAAAAATTATATTTGACTATTACAGATTATGTGATAAAAATTTTTTTTCACTTCAGATGCTTAATTTTGAGAGTTTTTATATTTTTAAAGTTATCTTTAACATCAGATAAACTATAGCTTATTACAACTTTATTTTACATAGAGGCACATGAGCCTTAGAATAGTTTTATTTATTTAGAATGCTTTATCATTTCCAAAATCTTAGGATTTCATTTATTTATTTTTTGAACAGAGGCTACTTGATATATTGCTGTTATAGCAAACAGAAGGCTAATTATCAGTACCTTTATAGTTACCACTTTTTATTCATTGATATCATTGATATTAAAGCTATACCTACCAAGCACCACAGTTAATGAAGCATTGACTATTCCTAATCAAGGAATTATTGATTCTTGTAAAATGAATTGGCTAGCTAAGTTTTTTCATTATAGCTGCTGGGAGGTCTTGGACTTTTAGAAAAAAAATCTAGGACTTTTGGTCTAATAATATTGCATTGAGGTTATGCTACATACTGGAAACAAACATTAGAAGTGCTGAATTCTTAAATACCTTTATTAACTGCATTCTTTAAAAAAAAAAATATATATATATATATATATATGTATATATTATTGATTTTCAGGAAGGGAAAGGGATAGAGAGCTAGAAACGTCGATGAGAAACATTAACCAGCTGCCTCCCTACTGGGGATGTGCCCACAACCAATGTACATGCCCTTGACTGGAATCGAATCTGGGACCTTTCAGACTGCAGACTGATGCTCTATCCACTGAGCCAAACCGGTTTCGGCTTGACTGCATTCTTGTTGCTACCAAAGAAGAGGATAAGTAGCTATTAGTTGGTTTCTATATTTCATATGTGGCGGTTCTTATAACCGGTTAGAGAAAATATTTTTCCCATTATATTTGCTCCAAGAATTAAAAAAAAATATTTTCCATTATTAAAAAGCACATTTTCAAATAACTTTATATAAAGTGTTTTGATAGTAATTCATTAATATTTATCAATACTATTTCCTCTTTTAATAAAATTCATTAATGTAAACTCTGAAAAGGTATTGCTACTTGGCCATGAGAAGAAAATCATTTTTGTTTTCTTATTTTAAAAATTAAATATTGCATACTATCTCATATGAGAATAAAACATATATTTATATTACTATTATTTTAAAATATGTATTTTTATTGATTTCAGAGAGGAAGGGACAGGGAAAGATAGAAACATCAATGATGAGAGAGAATCATTGATTGGCTGCCTCCTACATAACACCAACTGGAGATCAAACCCACAACCTGGACATGTGCCCTTGGCCAGAATCAGACCTGGGACCTTCAGTCTGCAGGCTGACTCTATCCACTGAGCCATATCTGCTTGGGCCATATTTATATTATTTAAAAAGTTAATATTCAACATTTATCTCATCAATTTCAATACATTTGTTTAGTGGAAATTTTACAAGCTGTTAGGTTTTTAATAAATTGTCTTTCTTATTTTAAGCTAGTATTTTAGCACTTAGTAAATGCCAAAATACTTTGACTTTAATCTGACTTCCCAGTTAAGCCATAATTATACGCATTCAATTTTGAAGTGAAATTTTTTGTGTTTTTATTACCTTTACAACAAAAAGCTTCAACTTAATTTTTTAAAGTTCATTTGTAATCTTTTGAAAAATGGATTATTCAGAGTCTTTTGAAGCAGCTCAGTAACAAGATGTGAAGCACGTGGAAGGTAGGTTAATGGTCTCTCAGGTCCCGCTAGGTACTTGTATGCAGCAAGTAATGTACTATGAGGCTTGAATGCCACTCCACACTAGTTTATAAGCCTAATGCACTGGCTTCTGTTCAGTACTTTCATGCTAGTAAGTTTTTTCCTGTTTATGTCTAACTGCCAATGTCTGGTGTAGATTGTAAATATACTAGTAAAGATATTGGAGTTTAGCATGCTATTGCAGAAAACTTAAAAACCAATTAAGTGTTTTCAATTTTGTTTGTTGGGATAATCCAAAAAATGTCATATAAGAAAACAGATATTCATATTTTATCAGCAGAAAATGAGTTACCTTAAATATACTGATTTTATAATGCATTCTGGCAGAAATAATTTCTTCATTTGTTAACAGTTGTACATTTTTATTCTATTTCTAATTAAAGATATGGACAAACTATGTTTCCAACCACAGGGGACTGAAAAAGTAGTATGGGATAGTGTATAGGCATTAAAAATAATATTTTAGAAAAATTTTGGTTCCCTTTGTCTTCAAACACAGGAGACTGGCATAAAATAACTCAAAATGATGCTACAGAGCAGTTATATACAAACTTGTTTTGTATATTGGTGCATTAATTTTACATTTCCTAACTAGTTTTCTTATTTAAATCTTATTTCTGTACCTTTCCTGTTACTTTGAAATTTTCATATATCTAAATGAGACAATAGTCCACCATTTTTTTTTTTTGGTGGGGGAGGGATGTTATAGAAATTTAAGAACTCACCTTAAACTTCACTGATTCTTTTATTTATTTATTTAGTTAGTTAGTTGAGTTTTTACAGAGAGGAAGGGAGAAGGATAGAGAGCTAGAAACATCAATGAGAGAGAAACATAGACCAGCTGCCTCCTGCACACCCCCTACTGGGGATGTGCCCGCAACCCAGGTACATGTCCTTGACCAGAATTGAACCTGGGACCTTTCAGTCCACAGGTCGATGCTCTCTCCACTGAACCAAACCGGTTTTGGCAAGCTTCACTGATTCTTAAAGCAAAGTCTCATGGAAGACAAGTCATTGTGGAATTAGACCACATTTCACTTTTGTTAAATTTCTACCTATTGCTTAGCAAGTGATCATTACTCATGAAATCATATTTTACATGATAAAAGGTTAATATGCAAATTGTCCCCTCGGGAATTCAACCAGGAGACTGGGAGTTTGATTGCTTGCTAGGTCTAGTAATAATTAATGTCGTTTTCTAATACTTTTTTAAATCGAATTTATTTAAACAATACAACAAAATTTAATCAACAATATAGTTGCTGTTGTTTTCTACTACTTGTGCCCAATGCTCAGGAAGCATTTTAATCCCTCTGTTGTAAAATTCTTGTGATTTTGATGCAAAAAATTTGGTCAATGCATTTTTGAGGCATTCTTCATTATTAAATTTTTTCCAAGAAGAAAGTTTTGCAAAGAACGAAACAAATGGTAATCGGAAGGGGCAATATCAGGAGAATATGCAGGTTGAGGGAGAACTTCCCATTCCAACTGGCGCAGTTTTTCAGCAGTGATTCTTGCAGTATGCGGTCGTGCGTTATCGTGGTGAAGAATTACGCCCTTGCGATTAATCAGCGCGGGTTCTTTTTCTCTTAAAGCTTGGGCTAACCTTTCCAATTGGGCACTATACACTGCACTTGTAATGGTTTGGTTAGATGGTAAAAGTTCATAATGAAGAATTCCTTTAAAATTCCACCAAACACACAACATCACTTTTTTCGCATGCAAGTCAGGTTTTGGCGTGGGCTGCGGAGCCTCATTTTTGTCCAACCATTGAGGCCGCCTTTTCAAATTAACATACAGCACCCATTGTTCATCTCCGGTAACAATTTGCTCTAAAAACGGCAAACGGTTTTGATGAGAGAGGAGCGAACTGCAAATTGTGACTCTTTGATTAAGGTTGTTGTTGGTCAACTCATGAGGAACCCATTTTCCAAACTTTTGGACTTTGCCAAGTGCACGCAATTGATTGGAAATTGTTTTTTGTGAACAATTTAAAGTTGTCGCAAGCTCTTGTTGGGTAATTTGAGGATTTTGCACCAAAAGAGCTTGAAGAGCTTCTTGATCAAAATTGGACACACGGCCTCGACCACTCTTGTCATCTAAGGAAAAATTTCCCTCGCGAAATTTCTCAAACCAACGCTGGCATTTTCTGGCGCTAACTGCATCTTGACCAAGAGCACTACGGATGTTTTTTTGCAGCCTCACTTGCTTTTCTTCCTAATTGGAACTCATAAAGCATGCAGTGCCGAATATGCTCTTCATCCGCCATCTTCTTAGCCCTAGTTTTGAAACAAAAACCAAACCAAACACAAACTTTTTCAAGCAAAACTTGTTAATTGCACTTCACACATTCTGTAGATACCACGTGTTTGAAGGTTATGTCAATACAAGTCAACGCCAAGCAAGATTTTAAATGAATGTTTAAAAACGACATTAATTATTACTAGACCCGATATGTTGTGCACTGACTAGCTGTGGTGGTGGCAGTGAGGTGCTGAGGGGGTGAGGGAAGGAGGAGGCAAGAAGGCGGGGAACCTGATTGACCCTGATCACTGGCCAGGTCTAGGGATCCTACCTGTGCACAAATTTTGTGCACTAGGCCTCTAGTATTATAATAAACTGAAGATATTTATGCAAGGTCAAGTATTTGAGAATGAGAGTGCTTGGGACACTAAATAGCTGTACACAAATAGGCAGTTATAGCTATTCAGTCTCTTAGCACACTTGTTTTGTTTTTGGCAGTGTCATCCTTGAATGCTTTATTTACACAATATTTTCTTTCTTCATCTGATTTTTCTACCTTTCTTCCCTCATTACAGATGTCATATACTTTCCACCTAAAATTCTGACAAGTGTTGGGTCTAATGTTTCTTTTAACTGCATTTACAAAAATGAAAACAAGATTGTTTCCTCAAAAAAGATTGTTTGGTGGATGAATTTAGCTGAGAAAATTCCTGAAAGCCAGTATAACATCATGGGGGACCATGTTAGCAAAGTTACTCTTCCCAGTTTGAATGCAACCAGGCTGCGAGGAAAGTTCACCTACGATGCCGTGTACTGCTGCAACGAGAATGAGTGCCACCATCGCTATGCTGAACTCTATGTGGTTGGTAAGCACACTGAGGTCTTCTTCCTTTTGTTCCACAAGATAAATTTATCTTATGGACCCTGTATTAGAGTCTCGTTTATTTTCATTAAGCATTTTTTGGTGTTTTTGCTATATATTAATATTTTTATGTGTTTTAAATAGATGTCAATATCAATATAATATGTGAAACTGATGGGTACTTAACTAAAATGACTTGCAGATGGTCAACTAATGCAATCCAATCACTCGCGGGGAGTACTTTGCAATTGAGGTATTATAGGTATGTGTTCTTTTTGCTGTTTTTATTTTTGTGTGGATATATTGAGATAAAAATTTCCTGTAGAAATTTTTACCGCCATCACGGTATTCTTATAGATATTCTTCTTAAAATAGGATAGTAGAATATACTTCATTAGAAAGCAGTAACTGCTACTTTAGCCATTTTAATGCCGTATTAAGAGCAAATAATGGCAGAAGGGCTTTTTCAAAGAAGAGGAGAAATGCTTTGTATGTTTTGAGGCAGGGTGTTGATAGGGGCTCAGTTATATAAAAAATGATTTTCTTATCTGTAAAGATGAATGATATTCTTGACTGTATGATTCATATACAAATCAAGAACTGATATCTTCAAAATTATACTGCTTTGAACTAGAAAATAATCAGACACTGTAATTATGCCGTAATTACTATCGACTGTTTTCGGTTTGTTGTAGAATTTAATCTGTATTGAAAGTGTAAGGAAATTATTTTCCTTCCCATCTTAGGGATGCCTACTGCTGCTTTTGGCCTGTAGTTTTAAAATAGTATCACATAGGTATAATATTTGCGTAGCTTTCAAAGTGTTAATATGTTCTCTCTCTAACTGGATCATTATCTCCTTGTTAGAGCAATGCCATTTAATTTATTTGCATTCCCACTTAGTGTTTAATGAAATATTTAATAAGGGTTTCTGTATGCTTTTATGGAAAGACAAGATTGTGATGTAGCTGGGAATTCTAAAATAACTATTTTAATAAGGATAACTATTTTCAGGTGGAGCAAAAACGGTACCTTTGAAACAGCAAAGCAGAATTCTCAAATCTTAATGCTTTCATCTATGTTGTATATTAATGGACTGTTTTCATATCTTTCAAGGAGCACCCTTTATTGTTCTGATGTTCCATCTATTCATTCCACGTCTGAACCCAAAGATTGCCATTTGCAGAGAGATGGTTTTTATGAATGCATATTTCAGCCAATCTTTCTATTATCCGGCTACACAATGTGGATAAGAATCAATCACTCTCTGGGTTCACTGGATTCTCCTCCAACGTGTGTTGTTCCTAATTCCATGAGTAAGTTAAATTGTTGTGTGTCTTCATTTTTACTAGCAGATTTGGATTTAGGTTGATTCAGGGCAGTTGTTGTATTTTACTATTTTCTGATCATATTAGATTTAAATATTTTTTTTGCTTACAGTAAAATTGATGACAATCAGCATTTGAAAGTTTTATTATATTTTAAATTTTTTGTCGCACAATTTATTTAGCAATAAGAATACTTTCAGCATACTATTTGATGAGTGAAATTTAATAATCCTATATAATAAAAGGCTAATGTGAAAATCAACTGAACAGCAGAACAATGGGTTGCTGTGATGCACACTGACCACCAGGAGGCAGACACTCAGTGCAGAAGCTGCCCTCTGGTGATCAGTGTGCTCCCACAGGGGATTGCCACTCAGCCAGAAGCTGGGCTCATGGATGGCGAGCACAGTGGCAGTGGCAGGAGCCTCTTACACCTCCGCAGCAACGCTAAGGATGTCTGACTGATGGCTTAGGCTGAGGGACCCCTCCCCTCCAAGTGCATTATAGTGTCTATATTAATAAAAGAGTAAGATGCAAATTGGCTGTACCTTCACGATGCCTACCAGCCAATCAGGAGTGATTATGCAAATTAACCCAATAAAGATGGTGGGTTGATTTGTATTCCATGTGCCAAGTGGCCAGGAGAGGAGAGGGATGCTTGTGTCGTTGCCATGGCAACAACACAGGCATTCCATACCACCCTAGCCACTCCAGGCCTCTGTGAAGAATGGGAAGACAGAAAGGTGGCTCTGGGCCAGAGCAAAAAGGCAGCTCCAGTCCCAGTGAAGGCTGTGCTGGCAGCCAGGGGAAGGAAGGCCCGTTCTTGCACGAATTTTTTGTGCATCAGGCCTCCAGTTATAAATAATTCACTACTTTGTACTTTTCTCCCAATATACTTATGGAAACATTGGGAGTTTTTAAATCTCAATGTTTAATTTAGGTATTCTGATGGTTTTGTAATCTGAATAATAATAACTCAAGGCTTTAATTTATGATGCTGTGTAGGGAGCAGCATTCAAAATAGCTAAAGTCAAGTGAAGAAGAGAAAATAGACAAGGAATAATAACATTCAAGATGAAATTTTAAATACTCTTTTCAAAAGATATTTTGATTTCAAATGATTAAGAGAATGCTGGGAAAATTTGCTATATCCCTCTAGTATTATTACTGTGGAATCTTTGAGAAATGATCCATTTATGATTGTGGGAAAGATGCCAAAATTCACCATTTGATTCACTCAGATAATTATACTTTCAAATAATTAGTACACATCAGAATTAAAACCTACATTTTGTTAAATAGAAGATAAATTCATAATGTTTAGATTTTTTTTTTCAACATAAAGTCACATTGTTGTGCTTGGGCATTGGGAATTTTGGTTTCCAAATATGTTGAGTTGGTGCATTGTCTTTTTCTAGTTAAAAACATGTTCTTGCCATTCTAGTCACCTTTGCCTCCATTTCTGACCCCTAGAAGGTCAATGGGAGAGCGGGGGGAGAGGAAGGAGACATATATACTACTATTTGTAATACCTTAAACAATAAAATTAAAAATAAAAACAACTAAAATGGCAGCAGAGTAAGTGGATGCTGTTTGGTCATGCTCCCAGGAACAAACTGGAATTACAACTAAAATACAGAAAAACTTCCTGAATAATCAACAGAAAGCTTGCAGGAAAGAACCCTGACACCCGAGAACTGAAAGTGGAGACCGCAGACACTGATTTATTTTGTATATTGTAAAAAAGTTAATTTAAAAAAATACAGCTAAAAAAAAAAGCCTGTTTTTCATAGATTTCAGAGAGCCAACTCTTCACTCTGTAAGACTACCTCTGACCTTGACCCAGAAATGCTTTCTAATAGGTAGTAGGAGAAGAGTTTGAAATTCACAGATGTGGAAATGGATGCAGTACATATTTTTTGCCTTTAATTAAAGAAACAGAATTTGCTCTTGATGTTTATCCTGTGTTCAGTATGGTATCTTCTGGACGCAAAGCTAAGGGTTTAATTTCTAATCAGGTCTTACTATAAACAGAGAGACATGGACAATGTATTGATTTTTAAAGAACCAATCTATTGGCAAAATTATCCCTTTTGTATTTATTACATAAAATTGTGGGGGAGCAAATGAGATAAGGGATGTGACATTTTTGAAAAAGAGATACTGCTTTATAAATATAAGGTATGGAGATTACAACATCATAAGAATGGTTTTTTAAGCATCATTACTGTTATATATACTGTGTTTTTTTGTTTTTGTTTTTTTAATTTCTAGTAAAACCATTACCTCCAACAAGTGTGAAAGCAGAAATTACTGCAAAAGTTGGATTACTGAAAATATCTTGGAAAAAGCCAATTTTTCCAGAGAATAATCTTCAGTTCCAGATTCGTTATGGCTTAAATGGAAAAGAAATACAGTGGAAGGTAACTTTTATCTAGAAATTTCTTTAGCTTGCTTCACTAAATGTTATTTCTGACTGTTATAATAACTTTATTTCATAAAACTTATTTTGTTGTCATAAAATTGATTTAGTATATTCTCTGTATTCTGAAGCTATTTTTTTTTTACAGTGATCTAAGTTTAATCCTTTAAAGAAATAAAATTTCCCACAATCTATCATTTCCAAAAGCTAGCTTTTATCATTGGTCCCATAAAATGTTTCTTAAAAAAAGCTTGCATGGTTAAATAAGTTTAGGAAACCCTGCATCACTGTATGTTTCTAGTGTAAAGTTATAGTTTATTACATATTAAAGGTTAGGAAAGGTCCTGCATTAAAGAAACATTTATTTGTGAATTTACTTCACCCTATGTTTCTCAAACTTATTTTACCAACAAACCCCTTTTCCTCCAACATCTAATAATATTCTTTAGTACACATATTGAATGAATATATTTTAGAAGCTGCTTTTACCAAATAAACCAGAATCATACCCCGAGTTGCAAGTGTGCATATGATGACTTGTGGTGTCAGTTTTCGGATGGCAGCCTGCAAAGACTTACAAACATCATTAGGTCATGATGATTGTAACTGAAATGAGTGTGATCCTTTACCTGCTTATTGAGGAGACTGAATATCAGAGATCCTCTACAGCAGGCCCTATTAACTACTCAATTAAAATTCTTAATAGTTTTTATGGTTAGATGCTTAGTGGACAGAGAACGATTGAGAAGCGAGGCTGCAAGTGAACCAGTCCCAATCGGGTTACAAGAAGGGAACTAAGATAGTCCTTAACCTGAAGGAGTTCATGATCCAAGCCTGATATGAGCATTTTCAAAGCCAGAAGTCATGAAGTCAGTTCACTCTTCGATTTGGAGTAAAATGTACCTCAGGGCCCTCTAGCCACCTATGTGTCAGTCATGGTCAATCTAATGCGTTGACTTCTGTTTCAGATGTATGAGGTATATGATGCAAAATCAAAATCTGTCAGTCTCCCGGTGCCAGACCTGTGTGCGGTCTACGCTGCTCAGGTGCGCTGTAAGAGGCTGGATGGAGTGGGATATTGGAGTAACTGGAGTGCTCCAGCCTACACAGTGGTCATGGATGTAAAAGGTCTGTAGAGATTTTGTAAACATGTCTTAAAAATGCACAAGTGTGTGTTTCAAATACTACGATTGAAAAGTATTTCTTCTGAGAACACACGTGCAACTTGTTGTTTTGCAGTTCCTACCAGAGGACCTGAATTTTGGAGAATAATTCATGAAGACAGCTCAAAAAAGGAGAGAAATGTCACTTTACTTTGGAAAGTATTTCTGCTTTTTTATGTTATTCTTCATTGTTCATAATTTTTGGCCCTTCAATCCCATATTTCATTTCCATTTTGAGAGATGATCACAGATAGCTAAGATCCCTAGTGGAGAGTGTATCAGCACAGAGTTAGGAGACTTTAGTTCCATTCTCAGCTTAAGGTATTATAGTTATGTCAGTACTACTTTGGCAAAGTCACCTGAACGCTTTAGCCTCATCTTCATAAAAGTAGGATTGCACCAGATGACATCTAATGTCCCTTCAAGTCTGAGAATTCTCTTTATATTTAATCCTAAACAAAGTAGATGCCTTCTCCATATGCCTCAAGGACATCTAAAACAAGAGATACTCTATTTGCATGATGACATACAAACAGTGGATATTTCCATAAGCAGTGAATATTCAGCCTAACAATTTTCAAAACATTCTCTCCACCATATGAATTTTGTATCTGAAGTGAATGAATTATTTTTTTGTCACAATTTTGGGGAAACACAAACATTCAGTCCACAGCAAACATTACCTGTCATTAGAGAATTACAAATTCCAACAAGTGTGTAGAGATACCTCTACTTCCTAGAATGGTTAAAATAAAAAAAAAAAGAACAATAAATTGCTGACAAGGGTGCAAGGCAACAGGCAGTTTTATTCTTTGCTGGTGGGATTGCAAATTGGAAGATAGTTTGGTAGTTTCTTACAAAGTTAAACATAGTGTTACCATACGATCCAGCATTATACCATTAGCTATTTACCCAGCTTATTTGAAAACTTGTCTTCACACAAATATTTGCACATACATGTTCATAGTAGTTTTATTCATTATCACCTCAAACTGGAAGCAACCCAGATATTCTTCCATAGATGGATAGATAAACTATGGTACTTCCATCTAATGATAAAAAGAAATTGCTATACAGCCACCAAAAGATGTGGATGAATCTTAAATGCATGTAGCTAAGTGGTAGAAGTCCATCTGAAAGGGCTACATAATGATTCCACATACATGGAAAAGGCATAACTGTAGAGAAAATAGAAAGATTGGTGGTTTCTAGGGATTTGGCTGATGAAGAAAAGTTTGAATAGGTAAAGCACAAGGGATTGTTTATGGTGGTTAAACTATTCTGTAGATTGTCATGGTGGGTACGTAGTATAACAAATACATATGCATTAGTCAAAACCCAGAGAGAGCATACCTTAATGTATGCAAATTAAAAATAAATCGTTTAGAAGGTTGGAGGATGCCAGGATGGAATCCAGACTGGGACAAAAGAATCTAACTGTATTACAAGTGTATGCAAAACCTCACTGAAGGAGGTGGGAGAAAAAAGTGCAGGCCTAAAAAAACTTTGTAAATAGATGGATTCTTAAAACTAAGGCAAAAGAAGTGGCACTATGCACTGGATTCTATTTTATAGTGTTAATTATTATGGGTTAACAATTCTTGTACTACTATACATGTAAACTGGAATTGAATGATCAAGGAAATGGATGTGGATGGTGGGACGCAGGTTATAGAAAATCTAGGGGCAGAAGACCGGAATGATCCATGTGGTGAGGGGTTAGAATTGGAGACATCAGTATGAGTTTCTATTTAGCTCAATATGGCTACAGATGGATTGATTGAGAAGTATTTATAGATATGAATATTAGTATGCACACATATATTATCATGATCTGCGAGGGCCTCGAGGTAACAGCACTCCAGTGACAAGGAGCATACTCAGATTTGTTTCTAATACCATTCTCCAATGAAAGAAATAAAGTTCCTTGAAAAATGGTTTGGGACTGGGGCAGGAAGTCCACAAGATGAGTCTAGAGCAGCTTCGTAGTACCAAAAAGTAAGGAAGTTTACAGTCATTTTTAATTGATGTTTACAAAAGAAAATATTTGTATATGAAAACTGACATGGATTTTAAAAAATGAAATGTGAAATTTGCATGACTTTTCAGACATTTCAATCTTGCAATGGTTGCTGCAAAAATCTCACTCCTCAGTTACCCAGATTATTTCAGGCCCTATAGGGGTAGATGTAGATGTATATGTGCTTGTGTTTATTTTTTTCTGATATCTGACGTATAGGAACCTCAGTGACAAAAAAAAAAGAAAAAAAAAGTGGTCTAGTCTGTTGTAGAGTCAAGCTTTCTGTGGGTTTACAAAGGATTGCCAGCACTATTCTTACCTGAAACAGGTGAAGGTGGTGGAGGAGTGGTGTATTCTGTGGAGAGGAGGACTAGAATTGGACTAAATCTGTATTTTACACTGGAATTGCCAGTGACCTGGAATGATTTCTTTTCAGCCTTGGACTGAAATTCTGTGGTGCCATGCACACTGTTCTGTTACTTGAAGTGGAAGAATGTCAAAGGAAGGGAAAATGAGCGACAATTTTACTGCGATTAATATATGATGATTAACATTTTTCAGCTTTTTCTGCCAGTCTTTCTTTTCTTTAAAATGAGAGTGAAACTTTTTGGTAGAAAAACTTTGTATTCATATTCATTATCTTCCAATGATATATTTTCTGAATCTTAAAAAACAAACAAACAAACAAACAAACAAAAAAACAGAAGGGGGAAAATAACTTTGCTGTGCTCCGTACCACTTGACACCTTCATCTAGCTTGTGGTCAAAGGCAGACCCTCCTCACCCTCACCTCCCCATGCCTCAGCCTGGACATAGGCAGTGCTGCCTCTGGTCTGACCCCTGCCTCCCTATGGGAATGTATAATAAGAGTCGCATGAGCACAGTTGGTATAAGAGCACTGTAGCCCTTAAACTAATCCAGTTTTATGTTTACTCCAGCCCCTGATGAAAAATGATTCATTGTGCCATGTGAGAAGATATGTAGTAAAGCATCATACTGCCGGCAATGGAATATGGTCAGAAGATGTGGGCAATCACACCAAATTCACTTTTCAATGGACAGAGCAAACACATTCTGTGACAGTTCTGGCCGTCAATTCGATTGGCGCCTCTTTTGCAAATTTTAATTTAACGCTCTCATGGCCCATGAGCAAAGGTAATTGAAAAAGTACAGGGTAGTAAACCTGTTCCCTTTTAAATATTTAATCTTTGTAAACTCCTTCTATTCTTCCAAGAAGCCTGTGATTCCCTAAATCTGGAAGTCTCTGTTTTACCTTGATCTCGTCTTTGTCTGAAAAATAGCAAACTAGATGATACTCTGATTATGTATATGGTCCTGGGGTTTTCATGTGGTAGAACATGGTTGAAATGATATTATAATGTGAGAATATTCTAATAATGCTTTTGGACCAATGGTGGTCATAGGTAAATCTCTCTCTCTCTCTCTCTCTCTCTCTCTCTCTCTCTCTCTCTCTCTCTCTCTTGATATGCACAATTACATGTATACATGTATTATATAGATATACATGTGTTATTATGGATTATAAATATATGTAATATTATGACATATTATATGGATACAAGTAATTGCTTACACTTGAAAGTGTCTGCCTTCCATTCCTTCTCTCCCTTTCCAAGAGCTTATATGATCTTCAAATGTATTAGGAGATTTTCATTAATTTTGATTTTAAAAACAAATATTTTTTCTTTTCTCCTCAGTAAACATCGTGCAGTCACTCAATGCTTATCCTTTAAATAGTAGTTGTGTGATTCTTTCCTGGATGCTATCGCTTAGTGATTACAATCTAATGTATTTTATTCTTGAGTGGAAAATTCTTAATGAAAACAATGAAATTAAATGGCATAGAATCCCTTCATCTGTTACGAAGTATTATATCCATGGTAAGTTTACTGTACTTTAATAAGTTTCTCTTATGGATTAGTATGATACTACAGATTAATTCAATTAATAAAGGCAGTTAATTAAATCAAACTTCAAAAATATAGATGACAGTACCATCTGAATACTTGTAATTTTATCACCTTACCATAAACATTTAACTCTTTCATTTGATCCTTTTTCTTTCTTTCTTTCTTTCTTTTTAAAAAAAAATATATTTTATTGATTTTTTTACAGAGAGGAAGGAAGAGGGATAGAGAGCTAGAAACGTCTATGAGAGAGAAACATCCACCAGCTGCCTCTTGCACACCCCCTACCAGGGATGTGCCCGCAGCCAACGTTCATGCCCTTGATCAGAATCGAACCAGGGACCCTTCAGTCCACAGGCCGACGCTCTATCCACTGAGCTAAACCGGTTTCGGCACATTTGATCCTTTTTCATTTAAATATTTTACATAGTGGTCATCATACCTTGTCATCTAACACTTTCCTTCTGATTTGTTCCTTTGACATATCACAAGCATGTTTCTATTTTCTCCCCTATCCCTGTATCTATTATTTTTAATGACCATATTGCATTTTATGCCAAAATCTACTTAAACTGTTTATTTGAGAACTATTTTTACTGCTTTCAGCTTTATCTTTAAACCAATTTGTAATGGCTTTTGATATCTGCTGCCAGGTTGTTCTCTCGAATTGTGTACCAACTTATAACTCCACTCACAATGAGTGGAAGTGCCATGTTGAAGGTCTGAGGATCTAGGACCTGGGGATATAACCAGCACAAACTCCCAAAAGTAGACCAGTTGCCCCAAAGAGGTGATTACAAAGTTTAAGTGCACAATACAGCATCTCCAACTCAGAGTTAGGTTTAAGTATAGAGAAACTAAGGATTGCCATGATCTGATCCTATATAATAAAAGCTTAATATGTTAAGTGTCTGGTTGTCCATTCAATCAATCAAAGCGTAATATGCTAATGATATGCTAAGGCTATTCACACGCTTGCCATGAGGTGTTCTGACCACCAGGGAAGACGCTCTGACCAGTAGGTTACCTTGCTGGGGTCCAGCCAATTGGGACTGAGCGAGATGGGCTGCACATGCCCTGGAGACCTCCTGCGGTCCCTCCCAAACTGGGCAACCTCCTGTGTAACCTCCCTGGCCCCAATCATGCACTAGTGGTGTCCCTCAGCCTGACCTGCTTCCTCTTCCAATCCAGGCTGAGGGACCCACCCCTCCCCACCAAGTGCACAAATTCGTGTACTGGGCCTCAAGTTATGTATGTAATATCATCCCAAAGACTCATACGTTTATGTCAGAGATCTTGAATTTAGCCTTAGGCTAAATGGAAAAAGATTCTTGATAGAGAACTAAATTAATTTCATTGCCACTGTTTTCCAGGTGGTTACTCTCTGTGCTTTTCATTATACCATGTGGACTTCAGGTTTCAAACAGATTTATCTCTTGTGAAATCATTTTTGTATCTTAATAGTACTTAATGATTCATTTAGAGCTTTGCTATAGAGATGGCCATCCTTCAGGAATCTAGACTCTTGGATATTACAAGGAAATTCCTGGTTCCTACCTCCATCTTTTCACAAGACTTGAGTCTTTTAGCTGCCTTGGGTAGGAAGACTAAGTAGCTAAGCTCCTATGTAAAGGGAATATTGCTCACCTTGGAGATACAGGAGAAGAGATAGAGCATACTGTCTTGCACAGGGAAATAACACTTATATACTCCGAACTTGAACTAAGTGGCTATTACTGGGATATGTCTTTGAAAAATTGCTATCTCCTGTCTCTGGGTAAGATTTTTAAAAAAATGTTATTTATAAAATTATTATTAAGGGAATTTGGAGTGCCTAGGTTGTTTTGAAAGTCCTTTAATTATCAGTCTCAATCCATAATAACAACTAATTTTTATGTTTGGAAATATAGGAGGGCCACTTAAAAACTTTTTATATAGAGTTCACTCATTTATATGAATTCAGGAAGAATGACCCTTTAATATGTTTTTCTCCTCAGATCATTTTATCCCAATTGAGAAGTATCAATTCAGTCTTTACCCAATATTTATGGAAGGAGTGGGGAAACCGAAGATAATTAATGATTTTACCCAAGGTAAAACTTTCACTTTCAGTTTCTTTTTATACAGATAAATGGTTTCCTGCATAGCAGTAATGTTGTCATATGGTTATTCTTCTGATAAAATAGTGCAAGGGTCCAGCACTATTTATGTGTCCCAGGGTGCGTGCACTCAGGGTGTATGGTTCCAAGGTGATAGTAAGAAAGAGAATAATCAGGCACATTATTGAATTCTTGTATTGATAAGTAAAAATTTTAGTCTCAAATTGAACAAAAAGTTGATGCAGACAAAATAAAGGTAAATACACAGCTATACAATAAAATATATCTTCATAAAGTTAGAAATATATTATTTTTCTGAACATTTCTATATAATGTATATAAATGCACCTTCCCCAAAGAATATGTTTGGTAGCATATATTTGTGAGTCTTTAAATTTTAATCAGTCTTCTAAAGGAAATATTTTTTCCTCTGAAAATAAAACGGGAGAGGTTGTCATAGACTAGGCCTCTCATATTTCTGATTCATCTTACCATACTTGGCATATTTACATTTTACTATTACTTTTTAAATTATCTTCACATCCAAGCACACCAATAATGAAGTTTCAAGAGAGAAACATTTTGCCTGGTTTTAGAATGAAAATAATTGAAAAAATTCATTAATGAATTATTGAACAAATGAGCATTCTTCTAAGCACTGGGGGTTGAAGAGTGAACATCATTCTCTAACCTCCAGGACTCCAATGAGAGTGAGAGACAATAAGAAAATCATGTATAATATAATGTCAGATTAAAGTGCCATGAAGTAAGATGAAGGGATAGACTTAAAATGTGGTGTTGTAGTTAGAATGGCCAACATTTGTCTTTTTGTTCTGTTAATGATTTTTGAGTAGAGCTTTGCAAATACAAAGGGGAAGAGCATTTCAGCAAGTGCTAGTAAGTACAGCGGAGTGCTTTTTACTGATGAGTGAGCATGCTTGGTGATTCAAGAAACAGCAAGGAGGTCAATGTGTCTGGACTGAACAAGCTAGAGATTGGCAGGTGTCATAGGTTGGCTTCTTCAGAAGCAGATGATCAGACCATTATAACAACTTAAACTGGCCCTTTAACTCATACAACCTGAAAATTTACCTGGAGCAGTCCACTTATAACCAGTAAACGCTCTGCTTTTTAAAAGGGAGCAGAGGGAGAGAATTCACAAATAATTTTTAAAACAATATTTCACTAAATTACAATAAGCATAATTTTGAACACAATAATAATTATTAATGGGATCCTAACTATCATTTATCTTCCCCTTTATATTTTTATATCTAAGAGGTCAGACAGATCTAGGATGAAATTAGGAAGAAGTCTACTATAATTTTTGGCACAAAGCGGTATTTTTTCCTCAAGCTTCTGAATTGTGTGAATTGCGTTTCTTTTCCAGATGATATTGAAAAACACCAGACTGACCCAGGTTTATATGTAATTGTGCCAATAATTATTTCTTCATTAACCTTGTTGCTTGGAGCATTGCTAATATTACATCAAAGGTATGGACCTTCATCATATTTAAACCTTGATTTTAAAATACAAGACATAAGTAATATATCCTAAATATTCTTAAGATGGCATAAAAAGAAAAGGCCTGTTTTCAGATAGCTAAATTCTGTTTTGCTAGCACAATATAAACTTCATGGAAAAAAATGATTTCTTTTCTGAAATGCATGCAGGAAATAACAAGCCTATTATAGGAAAGCCTAGGCTGTATGTTCTTGGAGGTGGCAAAGTGGCTTTCAGAGTTGTGCAATTTGGGTTGAGGACTTTGAGTGGTGAAAATTTACCTGGAGCAGTCCACTTATAACCAGTAAGCACTCTGCTTTTTAAAAATCAGCACTACTGGCTCTGGTCAGTCTGGTTTGGCAAATGGCCTTGAATTTCTTGTGGGTTTGTGCTGAGAGGTTTGGATCAATGAGTTACAGAATGAATCTTTGTAGAAACTTTTGTCTTCTAGCACAAAAGAGAGTCCATTTTAGAATCAGAATTTATCTTTCGGTCAAGTGAGCTGATGGTGCCATATCCAGTAGAATTGTTTCTGAAACTCACTTGATGGCCATTTTTAATATTTTATTTTCTCTGAAAAAACCTATGCAAAGTGCCTGGCACACAGTTTTCAATAAGTGTTTTGCTATTTTTATTATTATAACTAGAGGCCTGGTGCAGGAATTCGTGCACAGGTGGGGGTCCCTTGGCCTGGTTGGTGATTGAGTCCTATAGGGGGCCTAGCTGGCTGAGGGGAGGGGCTATGGGAGGCTGGCTGGCTGGTGGAGGGAGAAGGTTGGCCGGCCAGGGGGTGGGGAGGTGCCTGTGGGAGATTGGTTGGCTGTGGGATCACACTGACCATCAGGGGGCAGCTCCTGCATTGAGCATCTGCTCCCTGCTGGTCAGTGCAGTCATAGCGTCTGGTCTACCAATGGTTCTGGTCATTCCAGTCATTTGGGAGTAAAGGTTGCTTGGGGGTATATATATATATATATATATATATATATATATATATATATGATTATTAATTTTGGCCTAGGTAGATCATTGGTGGAAAGCTTTGTGTGATAACATGTGAAAATGAATCTGCCCCTCCTGAGGCATAGCTCTGGAGGATTAATTACTACCTTATACATTCATTAACTGTTAACAGTTTTAATATAAATGTTTTTCTGTGATTCTAATGCCTTACTTTTCCTTTGTAGAATGAAGAAGCTCTTTTGGGATGATGTTCCAAACCCCAAGAATTGTTCCTGGGCACAAGGACTTAATTTTCAAAAGGTCCCTTTTTAAATTTTCTTAACCCAAAATATAAGATTATATTTTAGATGTTATATGTCTTCTAGAGCTTTAAACATTTTTAAGGTTTAAAAATTCTTTTTACTCAATTCATTTTAATATGAGTCTATTTAATCTACTATATATTTCCAAGGGTAGCAGGATATAAGGATTTAGTACTAGGGGATACAAAATTCAATAGGTAGTTTATCATATGAAAGTTAATAATATACATATCTTTTATGTGTCACAGCACTATGTAATAAAATAAATATTAGAATAGTAGGGATCAATTCTGATAGAGAATGGGTTTTGGTATAAAGTGATTGTCCTTAGGCAAAGGGCTGGAATAAGTATTTTTAATACCTATAATTATCTCCATAATTATTTAAATCAAATAAAAAAAACTATATAAATAATCCCATGCAATTTTAAAAATTCAGTTATTAAAATTAAACTTATACTTATGTAAGATGGATTTTTTAAACCTCTGCAAATATTTAATTTCATAATTTTATAAGCTATTTTTTAAAGCAAAACTAGGCCTCAAGATGCTTAGTTTATTACTAAGGCTTAACAGGTATACAGATAACACAATTAGGGAGAACTCAGATTTTGAAATACAGCAAGAATCTTTGGAGTGGAAAAGAATATAATTTCAGATATCTTACTAATGATAAAAATCTTCTAAAATTTAGTAACTTTTCAGTCTCATTGCTTTAATTTCCTAAATAACTAAAATTTATTTTATTTTTTTAAAAATATATTTTATTGATTTTTACACAGAGAGGAATTGAGAGGGACAGAGAGTTAGAAACGTCGATGAGAGAGAAACACCGACCAGCTGCCTCTTGCACACCCCCAATTGGGGACGTGCCCGCAACCAAGGTACATGCCCCCGACCGGAATCGAACCCGGGACCCTTCAGTCCGCAGGCCGACGCTCTATCCACTGAGCCAAACCGGTCCCGGCTAAAATTTATTTTTTAAAGAAAAATAATACAGTGGAAATCATGTTATATTACCTAAGATAACTAGGTAAATGTGCTAACTGCTCTTTGCTTTTATATTCACATTATTTAATTCTCTCAATGGCCTAATTGCATCATATTTTCTGATTAAAAAACTAAAGCTGAGAGTGGTTCCATTTGCCTTGATCTACCCAGCCATACATGTAAAAGCCTCGGTGCAAACAGAGGTTCATGTGACTCAAACTGATTATCTTGCCATCAACTCCATATTAACAATTAATTGCTTAATATGCTTAGTGCCACTAAATTGTATACTTAAATATAGTTGAAAGGGTAAATTTTATGTTATGCATAATTTAATGCAATAAAATATGTGCAACAGATCTGAGTAGACATTTCTCCAAGTGGCCAATAAGCAAATGGAAAGATGCTCAATATCTTTGGGCATTAGATAAAATAAATCCAAAACACAAGATACCACTTTACATTAGCTAAGGTGGCTAGAATATAATACACAGATAATAAAATTGGTGAGAATATAAAGAAATTGGAAATTTTATACACTGCCTCTGGGAATGTAAAATGGTGCTACCCTTTTGGAAAATGATCTGACAGTTCAATAGTTAAGCATTGTATTACCATATGACCCAACAATTCCACTCCTACATATATACCCATTGAAAATCAAATCATATATTCACACAAAAACTTGTACATGAATATTCATAGCAGCATTATTTATTATTTATAATAGCCAAAATGTGGAAACAATTCAAATGCCCCTCAAATGATGAATGGACAGAAAAGAAAAATATGTTAGTGATGGGTCTAGGGAAGATCTTTTCTTCAATTTTATTTTTTAATTTACAGTTTACATTCAGTATCATTCTATATTACTTTCAGGTGTTCAGCATAGTGATCAAACAATCATATACTTCACAAAATGATTACCCCTATATTTCCGTACCCAACTGGAACCATACATAGTTATAACACTAGAGGCCCGATTCATGAAATTCATGCAAGAACAGGCCTTCCTTTCCCCAGATGCTGGCACCAGCTTTCCCTCTGGCACCCAGGGCCCCGGGCTTCCCTCACAGCCCTGGATTCGTCTGGAAGGTCATCTGGAAGGACATCCAGAAGGACATCTGGTCTAATTAGCATATTACACTTTATTATTATATTATAGACTATATTCCCTATTCTGTACTTTATAGGGAGGGTCTTTTTGCATTTAACTTGGTCATCATTTGAAAATATTTTCAATTCTGTCTCCACTCAATTTTAAGAAATTATCTTATTTCTTTGACAATTTCCTTTTGTTTCTTTGATTTTCTTTATAGAGTCTGTATTCATTGGATTTTAGATTCTCTCTCATTATATTTCATTCTATATTTCATTATATTTTCTATGTTCTTTGTTTTTATCTTACATTTGAGACCTTGCCATAACCTATTTTTCCAGGGTTTCAGTTGATTTTAATTTACTTTTTTTTTTTAAATAAGCCTTTATTGTTCAGATTATTATAATTATTCTTCCCCCCCACCCCCGTAGCTCCCCTCCACCTGGTTCCCACCCCACCCTCTGTCCTTACCCCCAGCCTCTGCACTGTCCTCATCCATAGGTATACGATTTTTGTCCAATCTCTTCCCACACCGCATACCCCTTTCCCCTGAATTGTCAGTCCACTCTCTTTCTATGCCCCTGATTCTATTATATTCACCAGTTTATTCTGTTCATCAGATTTTTTATTCACTTGATTTTTAGATTCACTTGTTGATTTACTATTTTATTTGTAAGTTTCCAAATATTCTTTTTTTAAAGAGTATTCTGTCCCATTTTTATGCATGCAATGTTTTGTTAAATCTTATTAGAAAAATTAATTAGAGGATTGTGGTTTACTTTTAAAATTCTCTTTTCTTGTACTCCCTGAATTCTCTGTTTTTATTAGGATCATGTTTTTAAGTGTTTTTCTTGGCCTTACTTTTTTTTTTTTTTTTTTTTAATCTCACTTTCCCCAAATATCTGATAATAATCTTTTAAGAATGAAACAGTAGACAGGCTGACTGGGAGCCCGGGGCAGATAGACAGGGATTGTTGCCCTAAGTGAGTAGATTGATGAGAAAAGATATACCTGCCCATGATGCTGAGTTGGCTCAAGAGTTACTTTTAAAACAAAAACCCAAGTTGGGTGTGGAGGGTGATTCTAATACAAAAGCTCTTGATGTGCAGCAGAGGAGTAGATGAGGCCCATTCCCTGGGCAGAGTTTTCAGTTTCCTGCCTCAGCTCTCATTTCTTCCTGTGTTTTTATCTCCCACCTACTTCTTCACACACCATTTCCATCTGGGCAAACTGGCTTTCTCTGCAGCTACAGCCAACTCTGGAGATGTTCTGGTCTGCAGTTTTCTTTGCTGATCATCTTTGTCTACACTCATTCAGTCATTTTCCATTTTTAAAAGATGGATTACAAAGCTGATTCTTTCTTAGCCTTCTCAGATTCTCTTTGCTGTGGGTATGCATTTGATTTACTCATGTATTTTCATTCTAAAAGAGTCTCTACATAGATGAGAGAGAAACACATATATTCAATCTTACATCTTGAATGAGATTACTTTTCTACATAATTTTTCTTAGTGCTTTAAAAATCAGAATATTAAAACATACAATACAATATGTAGATCAGGTATTATAACTTGCATACCTGAAACCTATATAATTTTATTAGCTAATGTCACCCCAATAAATTCAAATAATTTTTACAAGTAAAGTAAAAGTCAGAATATTTATTAGATAAAAGTTGAATTAGTCTTCTAATTCAAATTTCACAGTGTTTAAAAGACTTTAACCATTTTTATGCCTTTGCTTAGCATTTTTGCCTAATCTGTGGTTTTCTTTCTCTAATTCCAAATCATCTATGGTTTTAATGTCTAACTCCACTCATTGGTTGTCTACATTTATGTCCATTTTCATAAGAGTATGCTCCACTTAACAACCTTTAGAAGTCCTAAAGCTAAAACAAAGTGGATTTTTCCTTGTGATTTGAGGACTATTTTAGGCTCCTTAGCCTACTCTAGACCTTCAAAGAAGAAACCCAGTCACCCATGGAAGAGCACCACCCTCCCAGATCTGAGGCAGAGCATCCTGACATTGCTAGCAGGCCTTGCACAAGTGTGGGAGAGCTAGTGCAGTTTTGAGTTAGAAGTTCTATTTAGAAGTGCATGTTACTGGGCTTAGAAGTATGTATTCCAGTTCCCTAACATATGACTTCAGTTTTGTTTATTTTCTTCTTCTTCTTCTTCATATTTGTGCATATGCCCTTGGTTTATTAGTATCCAGAAGAAAGTAAGAATTGATGAGCTCAAATCTATCACAGCAAGTAAAAAAGCAAAACAAAGAACATATCCTCCTGACAGTTTGTGTTTGGGATATCTTGTCATCTTCCATTGTGCTACAGAATGATTGTTGGACTGGAAAAAAATGGACATAGGGTCCTTGCTGCTCTAAGTAGCTGTGTAAATTTAAGTCTCAATTGTTTTGTCTAAAAAAGGGGAGATATGTGGAACAGATGATTTATTTCTCTTGCTTTGGGGAGGGGAATAGTTATATCGATATATAGTTTTACATGTTGTTGAATAGTTGTATATACTGTGTTTCCCCGAAAATAAGACATCCTCTGAAAATAAGACCTAGTGCAACTTTGGGAGAAAAATTAATATAAGACACTATCTTATTTTCGGGGAAACAGGATAACTGCTGTATATTAGGTTGAAGGGCTGTATATATAGTTGAATAGTTGCATATAGTTGTATATCTCTTATATAGTAAAGGCTAATATGCAAAGTGTCCTCTTGGGAGTTCGACTGGAGACTGGGAGATGGATTGCTCTCTGTGATGTGTACTAACCACCAGGGGGTTGTGCGAAATGAAGGAAGGCTTCTGCCAGCACCGGGCAGCAGGGGAAGGAAGGCCCTGGCCAGTAGCTGGAAGGCACTGATCAGTCCTGATCGCTTGTCTGGCCTAGGGACCCTACTAGTGCATGAATTTTGTGCACCAGGCCTCTATTAGTTGTACATAGAGTCAAACAGTTGTATGTAACTGCTATATTATTAGTGGAATAGTTGTATATAGCTGTGTATGTGATTGAATAGTTCATGTAGTGATATATCAATATATATATGGTTGAATAGTTGTACGTAGTTGCTGTATATTTAGTTGAATAGATGTATATAGCTGCACATCTATATATGGTTGAATAACTGTATATAGTTGAACTAGGGGCCCAGAGTACAAATTCGTGCACCTTGAAGGGAACTGTGGGCCGCGAGGCTGCAGTGGGCACAGGGTTGGGTCTTGGCCCATCCTCTGCACCCCTACCCGGACCCTCCCACCATGGCCCCCAGATCCCAGTCTGCTGATGGGGCTGGTGCTGTCAGCAGATGTGAGTGGCAGTTGCTGCCCTGATCACCCCTCAGGAGCAGGGGGAGATGAAGAAGCCCTCAGGGGTGATCAGGGCAGGCAGCCGCTGCTCACACCCACTGATGGTGCCAAGTGATTGTGATTGGTGTCAGGCACTGGAAGCAGGTCAGAGCTGTGGCTCTGATGCCTGTTGTAGGTGCTGGCAGTGGGTGAGAGCAACAGCTCTGGTGCTGGCAGCAGATGAGAGCACTGGGATGGAGCGTGGCATGTTCAGGAGCAAAGAATTTTTAGTAACCCCTAGAGGCGTGCCCCAATGACAGTGACTGGAGCCCTGCCTTGGTCTGGCATCCCTGCTCACCTGCTCCACCATCCCACACCCTCCATGTTCTGCATATGCCCCCTGGTGGTCAGTGCACATCATAGAGACTGGTTGGTTGTTCCTGTTCTGTCCTGGTGGTCAGTGCACATCATAGAGACTGGTTGGTTGTTCCTGTTCTAATATTTGCATATTAGCCTTTAATTATATATGATAGTTGTATATAGCTATACATGTATATTAGAGGCCTGGTGTACAAAATTCAAGCAGAGGGGATGGGGGTGGTGTCCCTCAGCCCAGCCTGCACCCTCTCCAATCTGGGACCCCTTGAGGGATGCCCTGCTTCCCATTTAGGGCAGTCAGACATCCCTCTCACAATCCAGGACTTCTGGCTCCCAACTGCTCACCTGCCTGCCTTCCTGATTGCCCCTAACCACTTCTGCCTGCCAGCCTGTTTGTCCCCAACTTCCCTCCTCTGCCAGCCTGCTCATCTCTAACTGCCCTCCCCTGCAGACTTGATTGCCCACAACTGCCCCCCCCCCCCCTGTAGGCCTGATGCCTCCCAATTGCCCTCCCCTACTAGCCATCTTGTGGTGTCCATCTTATGTACACATGGGGGCAGAATATTTGACGACATGAGGGCAGCTATCTTAATCTTGTGTGTTGGAATGATTGTCAATCTGCATATTACTCTTTTATTAGATAGGATAGAGGCCTGGTGCATGGGTGGGGGCCAGCTGGTTTGCCCTGAAGGATGTCCTGGATCACAGTGAGGGTTCCCTTGGGGCGTGAGGTGGCCTGGATGAGGGGCCTGTGGTGGTTTGCAGGCCAGCCACACCCTCTGGTGACCCAAGCAGAGGCCCTGGCATCTGGGATATATTTATCTTCTACAATTGAAACTTTGTAGCCTGGAGCACAGTCAAGCCTCCTGCTCGCTCCCTGGCATGGCAGCAGCTATTTCTTTTGGGGTTTATTCACCTTCTATAATTGAAACTTTGTAGCCTGGAGTGGAGGCCTAGGCTGGCCAGAGCAGGTGAAAAGCTTGACTTCCTCCATCACCAGGGGCAACCCAAGCCTCCTTCCTGCTCTCTGTTGTGGCAGCCATCTTGGTTTGGGTTAATTTGCATACTTGCTCTGATTGGCTGGTAGACATGGCTGGTGGGCATAGTGGGGTGATGGTTAATTTGCATATTACTCTTATTAGGTAGGATATATTTGAATAGCTGTATATAGTTGTATATTTAATTGGATAGTTGTATTTTGCTACTGCATATTCATTTAAATAGTTGTATAGAGCTAGCTATATATATACTTGAGTAATTGTATATAGCAGCATGCATTTATAGTTGAACAGTTGTATATAGCTATATATGTGGTTGAATAGTTGTACAGATGATCTCTTAGATCTTTTTACTAGATTAAAAAATTATGATAATGATTCTCTGATTCTGTTTTTCACTCTTTTAGTCCTTCTTTCTCCTAACATTTAAATTTTTGTTTTCACTGCTCTATTTTTTCTTGTTTCAAATTATCTAATATTACTTTTCTTTCTCATACCCTTTTTATTTTTTTTCTGTTCTTTGTTTCTCTCCTTTTACTTATTTTGTTATTCCTCTATAGTTTTTCCTTTGCTGAGGTAACTAAGACTGTCCACGTGTGTAATATTAAGGCATGCATTAAGAAAGAGGGAGAAGACACCTAAGTTCAAAATTTTACCCTTTTCCAAAAAGATGCAGTACTGTTATATAAGACAGAAATGTACAGTCCAGAACCTATGCCTCACAGAAAATGTTTTGAAATCATTTATACTTTGTTTTCTGAGTAATTTTTTTTATTTTTCTTTCTTATTTTGTTTTATTTTATCTAAACAGAGTACGGACAGTCTTTGAAGTCTAATCATGATCACTACAGATGAACCCAATGTACCAACTTTCCAACATTCTATAGAGTATTAGAAGATTTTTACATTTTGAAGAAGGGGAGAAAATCTAAAAATAAAATTTGGTTGAACTACTAAGAACTAAACTATGATGGATCTGTTGATTTAGAACTAAAAACAGATGGGTAAATTTGGGATGGAGATGAAAGTCTGAGTCCAATTCAGTTTGGATGTATGATTACTTTTCAGGTCATCTGAAGTTTAAAAAGCAGTATTTATGATATCTGGCTTTTGTTTGATCATTTGGTCATGAAACATTGAAAAACTCTAACTGTTGTTCTTATTACATATCTATTAGGTATCATCAAATAAAAACAATGTTGTCACTAGATGAAAACAGCAGTTTCTGACAGTTTTTCAGATATACTGGCTCTAATTTCAGATGAAATAAAAGTAGTTCACTTATACTTTTATGTCCGAAATATTCCATCTCATATCCCTTTATAGACACTTCCCTGTAGTCAACCTGGGAGTTTTCATTTCCCATACTTTGGAAAATGGTCAAGTGCTAACTTCCATTTCATTTCAAAAAAGCCAGAAGTTACAGTTTGTGCTGGTCACAGGCCTCTGCAAGTTCCAGTTAATATCAGCATGACCTGGCATAGCTAGATCAGATTGACCAGAAAATACATTAGCTTCCAATTCAGCCTCCTTGTAAAATTTTTGCTTGAATTTAATATATTTATACTGAACCTCCCAAAGCTTCTGGCAGGCAAGGGAGTACACAGTGGTACAAGAAGGAAGACTCTTTGGAGCTTTTACAAATATTTCATGGCGAGGACTGGACGTTTCTCCCCGAAAAAGTCCACCTGCTGTTTCTATGAACTTAGCATACTAACTGTTCTGTTGCTCACATTCAAAATAAACCAAAGTCTTCGTTTGATGAACCGAAAAAAAAAAAAATCAAATTTAGGCTATACATAGATCACTTAAATTTAGATTTCATTCATATTTTTATTTGAATGTAAAAAAATAAAACTAAAAAATGAGGAGAATGGTATCCTTTTTCCCCTTCATTGACTTTAAATAGATGTCATTGGAATGTAAAATCTGAGTGAAATTAAGGAAAGACATTCTTTATTTCCCACAGCTAAACAAATATTTAATATGTTCCCAGACTCATCTAAAAACCTCAAAAATTTAGATGCATACAGTAATTTAGATGCTTTTGAATAAGTATACTTTTAATAAAGGTTTGTGACCCCTTTATACCCTTCAATAATATATGAGTGTATGATTTAAAAGTACTTATTAGTGAAGTCTTCCATCTAAAACGAGTGCAATCGTAGACCTGGGGTCAGTTTTTCGTTACCCATTAAGAAGTTCTAGAAGGCATTTAGTATGCCAAACATGTCATTTGAAAAACATATGTGAGTGTGACTGCATTCCATGGGCCATGTTGTATATATTTTTTGTTTTCACACTGATAGTATGTAATTCCTTTATTTGGTGACCTTAATTTCTAGGTTATTTTTAAGAAATTCAAAACATATACCATAGTAGCCTTAAGAAAAAACAAAATAAACAAGCAAATGTTTGAAGAAAATAATAAATCTAAGCATAGATTTCTGTCAGAAAGAAACTAGCCACAGAAACAGTTTCTCTTACTATATTATGTTTATAGAATAATGGAAAAGTTATGTTAACATGTATTTGTCATTATGCAGTATTTTAATATCTTTATAAGCCTATCCCATTATTATTATATTTACGTTTGGTATATTTATTCTTTTATGGTTATAATTACCAATATATTTCATTTCAGTTCAAAAATTTGCTAAATGAATTAGGTTTTTATATGGAATAGATTTGCCATTTTGAATTCAGGCAACAAATCTGAATTCATTTTATTAGTTTAAAATTTTTAATATTCAAAAGTTCACTTATATGTGTGATATGCAAATTGCACACATTTTCTATAGCACTTCATTTAGTTGTGTTAATTTTTCAATGTGATGTGTCCACAGTATTCTTTATTTTACATTTATTTTTTCAGTATGTTTCACATTGTATGAGTTGTATTTTTTGCACACATATTCTTGATGTTTATGCTTGAGAGGATTTTTCTTTTGCTGTAACCACCATTCTTATAAAATATATGATATGCATTTGCTTTGTGTCTTTGTCTTCATTTCACATGTTCCATAGCATGTATTTTTATATGAGTTTATTAATAAGAAATAGTAATTTAAAAGTCTGTGATCTTTTTTTCTTCATCTTCTTAGTTCTTATTTTCTGATATCTTAAACAGATTCTCAGTAGGATATAAGGCAGATAAATTCTTAGCAATACCAAATATTTTACCTTCACATCATATTTTACGTCATGTGTTTTGGTCATTTGATTTTATTTACATTTACTTTTTTAAGTTGAATCTTACATTTTAAGTTTGTGGAAATCTAATTTGTTATTAAATGTAAGGAACTCTTCAGATTATAGCACTTTCTAATTACAAAAATCAGTCTTCATTGAGAGCTAAGCACTTTCAGATGCTATTTAATTTATTCCTCACAACAATGCCATGAAGTAAGTATTGAACATCTTTTTATAGATGAAGAAAATGAAATGTTAGGCAGAAAGATGAATGCACTTGCCCATGGGCACAGAAATAGGATTCAAACCTAAATCAGTCTCATCCTATTTTTAAGCTACTTTTCCTTTCTGAGTTTTTGTTATATTTGTGTCAGTCCCAAACTAGTGAAATTTTGGTTGACTTATGTCCTTTAGCATTAATCCTTTACACTTCCATTTCTGCAAGAATGTCATATTGAAGCAGAAAAATAATAATGATACAATTAAACATTAAAATGTGTCTTTTCTTTTAGCCAGAAACGTTTGAGCATCTTTTTATCAAGCATACAGAATCTGTGACATTTGGTCCTCTTCTTTTGGAGCCTGAAACCATTTCAGAAGATATCAGTGTTGATACACCATGGGAAAATAAAGATGAGAAGGTGCAAACTGCTTTGGTTCCTCTACTTTTGACAACTGCAGATCTTGAAAAGGGTTCCATTTGTATTAATGACCAATGCAATAGTGCTAGCTTCTCTGAGGCGGGGAGCACCAAAATGACCTGTGAGGGTGAAGGCAAGAGACAATCCTCTGTTAAATATGCCACTCTGCTCTGCAACTCTAAGTCAAGTGCAACTGATGATGAGCAAGGGCTTATCAATAGCTCAGTCAGCAAATGCTTCTCTAGCAAAAATTCTCCAACAAAGGATTCTTTATCTACTAGCCCTTGGGAGATAGAAACACAGGCATTTTTTATGTTATCAGATCAGCACCCCAATATAATTTCACCACACCTTACATTCTCCGAAGAATTGGACAAACTTTTGAACCCTGAAGGAAATTTCTCTGAAGGAAATTTCTCTGAAGAACATAATGATGAAAAGTCTGTCTATTATTTAGGGGTCACCTCAATGAAAAAAGAGAGTAGTGTGTTTCTGACAGATGAGTCAGGGGTGTTGTGTCCGTTCCCAGCCCACTGTTTATTCACTGACATCAGAATCCTCCAGGACAGCTGCTCACATCTGGTAGAAAACAATTTCAACTTAGGAACTTCTGGTCAGAAAACTTTTGTGTCTTACATGCCTCAGTTTCAGACTTGTTCCATTGAGACTCAGAAGATCGTGGAAAACAAGATGTGTGACCTAACTGTCTAATTTCACTCAAGAAACACCTCAGATTATGTTACAGTGAATCATATGAACTGTGATATATGTCCCTATAGTTACTAAGGGAGAGAGAATTGTCAGTTACATTTGAAAGTGACTGTTTCAGAATTAGTGGTATCTGTCCTTCAGTATTATAGACAAATAAGATGAGAAAGCCTTCAGGAGCCTAGCCATGTAGACAGTCTCTTCTAATGATTCTTTTAACAAGCTACAATGGGAACGTCTCTGATGGCTTGCTAAAAACGTCTCTTGTTTCTTGCTAAAAATAAGCTCAACAAATATTTTTTATGAAAGCAGACCTATGTAGAAATATCTCACCTGAATCAGACCCACATCTGAAAGAAGACTTCAAACTAACACCTGTGACATATAACTCTTGTTTCAAGGATGTGTTGGTTTTACCTTGAGTTTGTCTTTGTTTTACACTAATTGACGTATGTGCACATGCACGCGCACACAAACTCACACCTATTAGGTATCGTTTGTGCATTTTTAAAGTATGTGATGTATTTGTATTTTGTGCTACTAGACTGTGCTAAAGGTTTTTTTGTTTGTTTGTTTGTTTTGTTTTTTTTAAATTTAACTTGCCTTGAACATTTACTGTGTTAGGCACTCCACTAAATGTTGTATATAAATAGGAGATTTAGCCCTGGTCTAGGGGTTATACTTGTGAAGGCTGACAAGCAAGCCAATATTTATGTATCAAATCTAAGATATGTGCTATAGAATGAAACCACTTATTATAATGGCAATTCCCACAGCCAGTATTTAGAGGTCAACTCAAGCACTTTTGAAAACATGCCTGTCTTAACTCTTCTCTATAAATACGTTGAAATGTTCACTTTCTTTTTTTATAATGAGTATTTCTTCCTTGTTTTTATTTTGTTATAAATATATTTGTGTGTGTATCAAATATCTTTGTTTTATTTTCATCTCTTGTCCCCTTATCATGTAATATAAAATATATTACTGACTTCATATCACAGTATTTAAATTGTTAATTTTACATCACAGTATTCAAGTTATGGGATAGCCAAGAGAGGAGTAAACATCACTTTCTGGTGGCTAGATTGCCAAATGTTACTGTATGTCACTCTAGAATCATTGTCTTCCCCCCATTCTCATTTGCATGTACACTATTTTTCTCACTTACAAAATATTCTCTCTATGTAAGCCAATTACTGTGCTAATACTTTCCACACTTTAACTCAACTAATTATTAAAATAATTGTATAAAGCATAGACTACTACTACACTCCTTAAAACATTAGGAGATTAAGTGATTTGCCCAAAGTGGCAGGGTAAGTGGAAGATGCAACCAGAATTCAGATTTAAGCCCAGATCTTTTTACAGCTAGTGATCATGTTTTTAACCTATACCTTGTACTGCCTTCCATTAAACACCCCCCCCCCCCATAAAAATTGATGTGTCATCAAATAAAATCTATTAGGTAGAAATATAATGGCAGGTGAAAATTAACTGAGAATTGCATAGATCTTGTCTTTGCCTCTAAACACTTTAAAGTTTGTTGTTTATGTCAGCTTTTGGTATGGAAAGAAAATTGAAAGACAGCATATTGGGCAAAAAACTAAGTTAAAAGCTTCATAGATAGATGTTCAAATGCAATAAGTGAGAATTTAAAGATGATCAGCATAAGAAAGAACTTTAGTCCTCAAAAATATGATGATGGGTTATCACGAATTTCATACTTAGACTGAGAGAGGATTTGCTGATTGAACTCTTCCCCCAAATAAAGTCTTACATGCCATCTCTATTCCAGGTGTAGCCATATGAAGTGAGCAGTTCTAAACAATGACATAGATCTCAGATGCTGTCTGATTCAGTGATCCTACTTCAGGGAATACATCCTAAAAACCCCAAAACACCCATCAGAAAGAATGTGTGCACTCCTATGTTTATAGCAGCGTTATTTGCAACTAAAGGCCCGGTGCACAAAATCTTGGGAGACGTAGACCCGCAACACTGGCGGGACCCCAGATGCTCTGTGGGCAAGTAGCTAACCGCCCCGAGCCACTCCACACTGGGAGAGCTGTGAGCCCCTCCACTTCACATCAGGCTGCGCAAGCCAGGAGCCCTGCTATGCCATGTGAGCTTCAAACCCCACCCCATTGCTGTGAGCAGCTCGTGGGCCAGGGGGAGGGACCGAGAAGTGCTCCATGCACTTCCTGGTGGTCAGTCGTTTGGTTGTTACAGCATTATGGTGTTACAGCAACTGGCCTTTTATATTATAGTATAGACTAGAGGCCCGGTGCAAGAAAATTTGTGCACAGGGGAGGGAATTCTTTCAGCCCGGACTGCTCCCCATCACAGTCCAGGAGCCCTCATGGGATGTCTTAATGAAGGCTGAGACCTGCTCCCCATGAGGAGCGGGCCTAAGCTGCAGCCTGGCCTCCCCCTGCAGGAGGTAACCAGCTGATCAGGTAGATAGATACTTTCTAGAGGCAGCACAGGCTCCTTCCCTATTTCTTTCCTCTGTGATTGGGGAACAGGGGACTAAAAGGTGGAGACAGAACTGTGTGTAGGCCTGGGGCTTTGGTAGGCAGCAGAAAGAGGGAGAGAGCTGGGTAAAGTCTAGACACATGTTCTTTGATTGTCCTCCCTTCCTCCGGGCCCTTCCCTCCATTTTTTTTCCTTCTCATGGTGGATGCTCAGGCCTCCAACCGACTGGAGCCGAGTGATAGTGGTGTCCAACCCCCTCACTTCTGAAAGTACAACTGCCTCCCATTCCAAGCAGGGCTGTTTTCAAGTGTCTAAAGTGCAGGGAATCTACAGCTCCTGGCCTCTCCCCTCTCGGTTTCCTCCTTGAGTTGGTTGAAAAGTTCACTGAGACACTGAAGCAGCTCTGTTCTGGGGGTCTGAAGGGGCGCTGGGGGGAGATGCATGCAGGCAGTGCCACGCCCCAGGTCAGGGACACAGGCAGGCAGTGTCATGTCCTTGGCCAGAGATGCATGCAGGCAGCTTCACCTCAGCGCTGTGCATGATGTTACCGCTGGGCAGGCCTGGGCGTGCCTCTGCTTGAGGGCAGAAGTCCCAGCCCTTGTCCTCTGAGTGAGCAACCTGTTGACTGATTATGATTTGGACAACATAACAGATAAATTAGCATGTTTTCTCTTTATTATATAGGATAGCTAAAATTTGGAAATAGCCCAAGTGTCCATCAGTAGATGAGTTGATAAAAGGCTACGGTAGCCCTAACTGGTTTGGCTCAGAGGATAGAGTGTCAGCCTGAAGACTCAAGGGTCTTAGGTTAAATTCTGGTCAAGGACATGTACCTTGGTTGGGGGCACATACCCAGTGGGGAGTGTGCATGAGGCAGCTGATCCATGTTTCTCTCTCTCATTCATGTTTCTAACTCTCTATCCTCTCCCTTCCTCTCTTTAAAAAAAAAAATCAATAAAATATATATTTTT